GAGCCGACACACGACTTGCTTGCGGAAGCGGCGTGCGCTTGAGACAGCGTGTGCACGCATCCGAGTGCAGCGCGGCGGCGTCGACCGTCGTGATGTGCGCCGCGAGGCGTCTTCGGACGACGGCGTCGGCGAGGATCGCGAGTCCTTTCGCAAGCCGGTGGAGCACATGGTGGCCAAACGCGCTCGGCGACGACGAGCCACTCGGTTTCGGGCCAAAATGGTTGCCGTAGAACGCCATTTGCACGCGGTCGGACCGGATTTCTTCAATGTGGTAGCCAAAGAGGAGCGACGTGACGTGCTGGAGCTTGCATTTCGCGTCCGCCATGCGGTACACGGTCGGGTTGTCGAGCGACTTGAACGCGCGGAGCACCGACGACGGCGACGGCTGCTGCATCGCATCCAGAAACACGAGGTCGTGCCGCGTCCGCGAGAAGAAGCGCTTGGTTTCAAACTTGGCGTGTTTGATCGCACCGGCCACGCTGCGCTTCCGGACATCGTCGCTGCTCTTGCTGCTCGGGACGTCCGAGACGACGGTCGCGCTGTCGTCGTCGTCGTCGCGCATATAGGACGCGACGCCGGTGGCGAGCCGGCGCGCGGTCTTGACCTCGATGAGCTCGGCGCCAAAGATACGAGCCAGGAACGCTTGGAAGCCGAGCTGCGCGTCGCACGAAAAGACATTGAGCACCTCGGCGAGCGATCCGGTGATGAGCGTCGAGGCAAAGACCGTGTACGTGGCTGTCTCGGCGCTATAGTCGGACCGGATCGGCGTCTCGTTGTGCCGAAGCAAGTCATGCTGGATTGCAATCTTTTGGCGAACATGGCGCGTGATCGACTCGCCGCGCAGGAGGAGCGCGTCATCATTCATCTTCTTGGCGTCCTCGAGGAACGTGCGCGGCCACCGCTCCGAGTCGGTCGTCGTGGTCCGCGACTGCTGCGCCGCCCTGCGAAAGAGCTCGCTGCCGTTCTGCGACCCATGAAACATGGTGATCGGCGCAAATGCAAGACTGGGCGCGGGATCTGGAGCGCTCAGATGTCGATGTGACTCACCGCACGCAGATCAGTCCTCTTCGGCGTGACAGAGACGTTTAACAGATGTTTAACGCACTTTAACGCGCGTCCGAGACGGCACCGGTAGTCGCATTCTCGTGGTGGCCTACCGGACCGGTAGGCCACCACGCAGCGTGCGAGCGCACCAATGTCTCGTTGCCGCACGGCAGTCGACCTTGTGGACTAACGGTACACTGCCACGCAGCGACGGTCCCTCTAACGTTGGATCCAACGACTTTAACGCGTTCAACGTCAATCGCGAATGGAAAGTGCAAGATCACATCAAGGTAATGACCCTGTCGGAAAGGCGATTGTGCCGTTGACGCTGTAGCGACTGTCGAGTACGCTCGTCGATCCGACTGTACGAGAAATAGTATAAACGAGGACATGCTCATTGCCGCATCTGCTACTACTACGAGGCAGGGAGCCGTCGCAGGTCAGAGATCGCCGGTGTTGCTTGGTTATCACGCGCTCGAGGAGGGATCGCGCGTCGCAGCCGACTGTTGCAACTGCACCAGTTACCAACGCTGCTCAAATGTAGGACTTGGTGTGAGCAATGTGGTGCTCTCCGGATCGACGCCACCGTTTCCGGCTCTTCTCGTGGGACTCGTAGTTGTACCGCCGTCGATGCTTGTGCGGCGGTGGTCAGCAGCACGCAACGTCGGTGTCGTCGCGGCCCCTTTCCTGTACATACGCTGCGTCGTCGATCAGGCTGGCGACACGACGGTGACGCGACGGTGTCCTTGCACCGGTCGCGCGTGTGCAGCGAGAAGAATATCGCTCCAGCAGTTGTAGCCGGTCGAGCGAGCCGGTGGCCGACGACGTCGTCGACTATTCGCTGCTACGCCTCGTAGCAGCGAATAGTATCCAGGCTCGAAGGTGTTCTTCCCTCGTAGCTGAGCTGTCTATGGCTGCCATCCCAGCCACATTGCCATGAGCCACCCGACACGCATGACGAGGCGGCACATGTCTACGACATGGTGCGCTGGTTTGCAAGACCCAAGTCCCAAGGAAGAGCGGCCAACGTCGTTTCTCAAGATAGAAAAACGTTCATAAACCTTACACGACATTACTTCTGGCAACACAAAAACGTCCTTTTGCTGCACACGTAAACCTGGATTGGCTTCGTCCATCGCAGGACGCATTTCTATTGATGCTCGCTATAGGAAGCAACGCGGCGTAGTCGGATCATTCATCGCTCGTCGTCGTTGGCGACGAGACGCTAAAAGACGACCATTTAGGCGCCAAGAACCGCGCGTCTTGTTCCATGATCGCATGAGAAAGTATTGCAGATGGGCACGGGAACAGCAACCCGAGCTGGCCAATCGAATCGCGGCACATCGTCGGAACACGACGTGATTGGTGCGATCTGTGTGCAATAGCACACCCGCGCACCGCGATCACAGGTTGTCTGTCGACGAGGGTACCATATCAATCGCCCAAGACGCCCGCAGCGAGTACGATTCTCGTCCGCGTCTCAAAGACACCCGATACTCGTCCGCACTCCTTTTCGTGCCATTCGAATTCCAATGTAAAAACCCTCTTGTCGGCGCTGCCGTCGGTTCTAATCCCTCGGCGCCCCCGACTGCAAGCGCCTTCAAGCCGCGCAAATGAGTGGCGTTCAGCCTGACACAAAAATGCACGCCATTACGCACAACGCATTCTATTGTCTTGATATTTCTATGGCAATTCCGTACTTTTATTCGATCCCATGTGCTTCGATGCTCGCCGGAATGACCTGTCACAACAAATGGCCACGCGCTGCTGATAGCCTCTGACATTGCATATTTGGGAGCGCAGCCTTGTTACAATGGACACAAAACGCGCATTGGCCCGACACCTACTAGTATTCATCAGGTCATGCACGACGACCCACCGACGCTCTCGACCTCGGTCTCACGCAGAGGAGAGCCTCATGGACCACGACGCGGTGGTTCCGACGCCAACGGCTACGGAGCTACTTTGCACGGGTTGTTCACACTAGAGTTCACCAGCATTATCGTGCCGGTAAAAGTCGTACCAGTCAATACCAGTCAAAATGACTGGTACGACTTCTAGTGCGCTCACCTTATTGCTAGAGGTGTGTGGTATCGGAGGTGCAAAACCTGTGCCATTGGATATCCTGTCACCAATGATATCTGA